ATATAACTCCAATTAGGCGATTACAACATGTAATAGTAATACTAAAAACCTAAGGAAAATTGTAAATATCCATCCAAGAACTTAGAACTAAAAATATTCCAAAGAACTGTTGATATTTAAAAGAAAGAGCGGTGAGAAAGCGAGACAGAATTCAAATCACACGAATAGAAAAATAACTTAAGGGACAATTGAAAATCAAATATAATGAAGTTGTATAATAAAGACAGAAACAACATTTTTAAACTTCAAATTCCTACCCTTACAAGTGATCAACCAATAAATGTAACAAATATTATAATCAACTGAATTAATATGAATCCTAGAATTACTCTTGTATCAAATAACATGTGACACAAATATAATGAAGTTGTATAATAAAGACAGAAACATCAATTTTAAACTTCAAATTCCTACTCTTACAAGTGATTAACCAATAAATGTAACAATTATTATAATCAACTGAATTAATATGAATCGTAGAATTACTCTTGTATCAAATAACATATGACGTACTTGCATGACCCAAAGATAAAAACTTATTGTAATTTTGCAAGAAAAATTATCAGCATGAAAGATAGCTTGAAAAATATCACTAGGGAATGTAAAAAAAATTACCATTAGGTAAACAATCCTTAAGTAGCATAAAAGAATAAGAACATTGAAAAAGAGATGATCATGAGTTTCAAGATTATTATGACATAAAACACAAATAGTATTGACATGCATAACCCTTAAAGAAAGAATACATAAGTCTTAAGCCCTTTAATAATAACTTTCCAAATGTGAATAACATATTTTAAAGAACAATCTTTAAATCAAATCAGTTTAAACCAATTAACTGAATGAAAAGATACATAAATAAGAAGATAAAAATTTTTATGAGAGCAATTAGAGCCATTATTCTAACAGCAAATAAGACAATTAGTGAAATAAATTTAGCTAATAGGTTCAGTACTAAAATCAAGAGCATTATGATGAAGAGAAGAGTTCCAACTATTATTGTAAACAATATTTTGAAGTTTCCAATTCAGACGAAAATTAAGCAAAGCAAAAATAGAATCACCAAATTTCTCAACAAGAGAACCTCCTCAAGCCAAGGATCATAATAAAAAGACATAGAACTATCATTAGTGACTTGGAACATAAAAGAGTTCCTAAGCTTAATAACAATTCAAATAAATCTTTCAAAAAACAACAAGATATAAAACTAAATTTACCCAAAAAAATTGACAATCATTGAAGAGATCTTCGTCCTCAAACCTTTAGGTAATAAGGAAGAACAAAATCAATAATAAAGATGTCTTCAAATAATAAATTTAATAAGTTGGAATCTACTAGTAGCAAATAATAATTTTCTCTTCTAACCAGCAAGCTAAGAATGTATTTTATAAATCAACTAATGACAATCCGAAATAACCACTTAGAAGGTTTTATAGTTACACGAAGGTAAATGTTTGATAAAAAAACCACGTAAGTTACAAATAGAAAGTTGAAAATTATTATCAAAACATTTAGAAAAAGAAATAACATATTTGGAGGGACTAATATGTAAATTAAAGCTTTAGATAATTGAGTAAAAACATTAAAAATAAAACTATTATGATTAAAATCAACCTTAATAAAAATAAGACGATCGTTAGCTCATATCAATTGATTAATAGAATCCATATAAGAAATCTTAGTCAACTGATTATTAAGCATAATAGAAACATAATCCATAGTGATAGCAAACAAATAAAGAGAAAGGGGACACCCTTGCCTCAATCCTGATGACGAAGAGAAGTAGTCTTTTAGCTCACTATTATTAACAACAGAAAAATAAACATTAGAAGTACAAGCCATAATCCAATTAATGAATTTACTAGGAACACCAATCTTATGTAATCTATTATACAAAAAATCTCTATTAACTGTGTCAAAAGCCTTATTTTTGTTAATTTGGGCACAAAAAATTTTCATACTATTATAAGAATTAAAATCATAAAGAAGTTCATTAACTAAAATAATATTATCTGTAATATCATGATCACTAATAAAAGTAGCTTGGGTTGGGTAAATAATTTTAAGAAAAATGATCTTAAGTCTTTTAGCCCAAAGAATAGAAACAACCTTATAAAAAGTGTTATATAAGGAAATAGGATGATAGTCTGAGAAAGACTTAACAACATTACTTTTAGATAAAAGCACAATAGTAGAATGATTCATCCTTTGTGGAATTTTAGATGTGATAAAAAAATAGTGACAACTATATAATCTTTGCCAATAATATCCCAAACATCTTTAAAGACTTTAGAAATAAAGACAACTGGACCAGAAGCTTTATTAGAGCTAATGGAAAAGAAAACCATTCTAATATCTTCATTAGAAAAATTTTGAAGCAATGAAGAGATATCATCTTCATGAATAAATGATTAATAGGAAAAACATCATCTAAAAAATGATCATTAGTAGGAGAACCATTAAACAATTCAGAATAAAAGGAAATAACTTCATTAACAATATCTATATGATTATGAATATAATCATCATTAACTAAACTTCTATGAAATTAGAGTTGTGACGATTTTTAGCCTTTTGATATAAAAATTTGATATCACCTCTCATTTAGATAATTAAGGGCATTTAGCTCTTTGTTTAACCCACTTGCAATCACAATAAGTAGCATTATAAATTTTATTTTGTAAAGAAGTAAACTTATTCTAATGATCATTTAAAAAAGGAGAATTTTCTAATTGAGCCATAATCATAATGTCTTGATCTTCTAGATCAACAATATAAAGCAAAAATAAAAATATTTAGAAAATTAGGACAAAAGCTTCAATAATTTTTATACATAAATCAACAATGCACTTTTAGAGAATATTTCAACAAAACCTAAATAGGATGATGATCAAAAGAGTATGTATTTAAAATTTATAATAAGAATCAGAGAAAGAATCCATTCATTCAGCGTTTCCAAAAGCTCTCTTATAAAGACATTTAATAGAATAATTTAATTAGTTATTATACAAACATAAAGAAACTACCATAATTGTGTATATCAATATGACCAAAATTTGAAATACAATTATTAAAATCATTAAGCTTAGAAGGCAAAGAAGGAACCTCTCCCACTTTCTCATCTATTCTCAATATATATTTTTTAATTATTACTTTTTTCTTAAATTCAAAGTTTTAGGGTAATTAAATAATAGGTTTTAGTGTGTTTGAATGCATGTCATGTGGTTGGAGAGAATGTATTCTCCTAACTCACCTAATGGCTCAACATGCTGGATACATTCGAGCAAATGACATAATTTACATCTCTTCAATATCATCATATCATTATTATTTTTTAAACAAATTAAATATTGCATCTATTGAATTTTTTTTAAATACAAATATAACAATATTATCTTTGGGCTCACCTTTTTCAATATATATATATATATTATTTTTATTTTTTTTAATTAAAGAGCAACTCGTGGTTCCCTACGTGTTAATCTAAGCAGAGAGTACAAATGGGGGAGGGAAATTGGATCCCCAACTAAAAGCAAAAAGAATACAATAAAGTCCTAGGGGTTCCTCTTTCCACATTACAACTCCACTCAAAAGAAAAAGGAAAGCAAAGGTATAGCAAACCCAAAATACATACAACCCAAGTAAATATATGATCCCGAAAAAATATAGTTGTGTAAAATTTATAAAGTTGACTCCGCTTTGCAACGGTGCCAAAAACTTGATGTGTTGATGTGGTATTTTGATGTGGTATTTTATGTTAAGCACTTAAAGTTGAGATTCTACGCAAGTATATGTATTGTTATCAAGTAATGTAAGACTTTCTTTTTAAGTCCCACATATCGATCCCACAGAGAAGGTCTAAATGCGAAATGATAAATTAACTAGAAAATTAATTTTGAAAGCTTAAGATATTATCAAAGCTAAATTATTTACTACTAGCAGAATTTAAAGGTAGGTTTTAAAATTAATAACTATTAAACTATGTTTATATAATGAAGTTTTCTAATGTGAAAAAACATCTTTCCCACTAGAATAAGTTTTTGGTGAAATGAGATGAGATAAATGGTTAAGATATGTATTGTACCAAATAGAAGCAATTTTAATTCTCTACCCTGATTCAGTGTTATAGAAAATCATTGGCTAATCTTAGGTTTAGTCCCTAAATCCGTGGCTAGGCTAGGAGGATACTGGCTCCCACTCCAGAGTTCCCACTTTCCTTTCCCTGAAAGCTAACTCTCACTTTAATTTTTAAACATTAAGATCAAATTGGGGATTTTTAGTCAGTCACCATAGAAATCTCCAATTCTACACTCAAATAAGTATATTTCTCAATTTATTTGCACTTAATCCCATGAACGAAATACTCCTTCATGGACTTAAATGTGATCCTTCATGGACTTAACTCCTTCATGGACTTAAATGTGATTCTCACTATATTGTAGAACTCATACTCCATTTCCTGGATCATATGTTTCACAACATATTTTAATAATTAAATTAGCCAAATCAAAAATTAAATTAAGAGCGGTGTTGAAAACCCATCACAATTAAGAGCGAAGTTGAAAAACCATCACACTTTATTTTATATT